TAATTGTTATCTAAACTAGAAATTAACCATGCACTCGCTTATCGATACTGGCGACGCCATTTTGTTCAAATACTTTCCTTCTACCTCGCTTAGCTCGTCCGAAGGAAAATAATTTTCCTTTTCCTGTCGCTTACACTTTAAAACACATACTAATGGCAGCTAAAGAGGCAAATTATAAAACAGCAGCTTCGAGGTTCTCTATAGTCAGATAGATAAGGGTTCTTTTCTGGAACAAGGTTTGGAACACAGTCACTTACTTGCCTCCACGATGTTTTTGATCATAGCCGTATCAGCTGGGTTAGAAAATAGTGGGAGAAGATCGTGGATCCACTTTAAAGCACACTGGGGTTGTATAACGACATTGTGGGATTTGTTGGCAAGTAAAGGATGGGAAAATTTTGAGAAATGACTGCACTGCTAATTGGTAACTCACGAGTAAGCTTAGAATTCTGGCTTACAAATTTAATAAACTTCCGCGGTATTGGGTATTTCACGGTTGAACTCGCCCGAGAGGACAATAATGGACAAATTGTTTGTTTTCTTGTTTACAAAGTTGTAATTCCCCAAGAGGATGCAGGACGTATCCTGAAAAAATAAAAGAACAGACAAATACATCTTTGTTAGTTAGAGTTAACATATAGCTAGCATTACTGTCGAAGATTCAATCGCTGATAAAGTCTGGCCAGGAACAAGCTCACCTATAGCCAACCGCTTTTAAGCAGAAATAGTTCCAATTTGATGAAGAACTAGGTAACCGCCTGACCCCGAGCGAGGACCTCAATTATTATTTTCCTGGCTAGCGCCCGCTACCAAATGCTGCGATCTAAACAACCATACTTTTTACCCTCTAATAATTTATTCAATTCGACAATTCCGGGCAATGTAGATTAATTGCTACATAATGGACAACAATTAATTAAGCCCACGCAGATTATCGTCGAAACGAGCCCTGTCCACGAGTTTGAATCGAGTAATAAGTTTTGGTTAAGTCCATGTTTGAGGGCTAGCTGTATTACCAAGGAGCACAATAATTTATAATCTTTAATGTGAGAGGAAAATCGAGAAACTAGTAGTGGCCAAAAAGACGCAGACGGCCAAAATGGTACAACTAAAGTCCCTGAAGCTTTAAACTTTTGCATGTACAGTAAGACTTTCGAGACAGGGGCAATTGGAGGAACTAATATTAAGCAGTTTTCTATCTCTCATCTTTGAAAAAATGCATCAATTCCGCATGAAATTGGATTTCAAAACCTGGAATAGAATTTTTTGACTTTGTAATTACGATAATTTGGAAAACAAATAACCTACTGCGTGCGGTCCAAATCTGGTTTCTAGTAAGTGAAAAGTTTTCCATGTGATTTCTCAGTCATCATAATCCACAATTTTACTCAATGCTCAATGTTTTCTTTCATGCTGATGGAAAAGATCTGAAAAGCCAATTGGTTAAGTTAAATTTTATGCTTCCAACTTGAACGATTTTAGCTGGCACTTGCTTATCAGTAAACCTCTTAATCATGCTGTGTTTGAAAATTGGCACAAAGCTTTCAAGAGAGAATTTTTTGCAACTAGCTCTCTGTAAAACTGTAAGTGGAACTCGTGTCCTTTTCTTCAACTGAAAACGCACGGTGAGCAATTAAGGACCCAGCATTCGAATTAGCAGCACAGGCTAAAGCACTTGCGTCCGAAAAAAAGATTCTGTTGAAGGTCTTTTTTTTGAAATTGAAGCACGGCAATTTACCACATTTATATTAGCTTTCCAAAATTGTAATTCTAAATTGCGTTATTCATCAAGCATAAACAATATGTCCCAGGTCTCAGATGAAACAACAAACATCTGGCAAAGCCGAGTCGTGATTCTCGTAAGATTGCCAATAACTGCATGCACCCATGGAAATGATCATACCTACGATGGAGGCTAATTTCCGTGCGGAAATGTTAGGATGATCCAAAACTTGTTTAATGGTATCCAGGGTTTTTGTTATGCCGTGAGTGGACACACTAAGTGTACCATTTATGCAGTCCCAACTTAGACCCAGCCATGTCATATCTCGAGTGGGATCCCATACCGATTTCTCATCGTTAGCAACAAACCCCGCACGATGCAGGTCGTTTTGAATGATGCTAGAAAGATGATTCGGAACTTTTTCTATATCAAATCCGTCGTCTTAATAGACGAGATTACTAATCACTTGTGCTCGCCAGTGTTTAACACTATGGGTCGAAATATTTTGTAAATATACAAGGAGCGGACGTTAACCCAAAAGGCGGTACAGTAAACATGTAATACAGGGTTTCTGCCCATCCTTAGGCCAACTTAGCCTCAAGTAAGGTTGATGGTGTATGAAAATGTCGAGATGATGGTAACAACTTTTCAGATCAAATGTTGTAAAGTATGTGCCTTTGTCAAAAAATTGGATCGCTGTTCTCCAGTCTTCAAATTTGATAGTGTGTTTATAAACAAAACTGTTAACGTAGCGCATGTCTAAAATAAGTCGCTTCT